AGACTAATAAATGGATTCTCGTTTGCATAGGAGAGATTCCATCTGGTAAAAGGAACTAAACTAAACATCAATTAATTCTAATCCCATTATTTAAATGAAATACCTTTAATGAAGTTCATTATAAGACTTTTAGAAATACCAATAATCGCATTATTTTTCGGATTGAGATAAATCCTCTACTTCTTAAAAGTTGGGTTATGTGTCCAGCGTTATTGGTTTAATGAGTATTTAATGGGTTTCCTGATGGAAAGGTTAAGTTTTCAGGAATTTGGAAAGGGATTGGCACCTTCTGCGATGATGCGAGCTTGGTTATAACTAATGAAAAGAGACCAATTTACAGAAGATTGGAATGATTCCAAAGGAATATTGATATTGGCGATGCACAGAAAATATTTGCATCGATCTTAAAAGATAAATTCACAGTTTTAATTTTTAAGAATAATCTTTCTGAAAAAACTATATAAATCTATTTAATACATTTTTATAATAAATATTAATATTGATTAGATTTTTATAAAAGAAAATTTAAATCTTAAAGTAAAATTCTTCAGTATTCATCTATATATTATACGCGTATTACAAATACATAATATTTTCGTTAAGATTATGTTTAAGATTATGGTTTCAAATATATATTTACATTATATACATCTTCAATAATGTAATTTAAAGAAAAAAAATTTAATTTATAAATGAAATCAAAGAAAAAAAAACAGACAAAATACTGAAAGAAAAGTTATTTTGAATTTGAGAAATCTATGAATGAAAATAAGAATTTAAAAAAGAGAAAAAAAAAGCTGAATTGAATTTCAGCTTGGTTTAAAGGAAAGTGAATTTTATAATGATCTTCGAGATATTATATCTTCACTTGAAATGTTAAAAATCAAATAGATATAACGAGATATTTATGTATTGAGGATTCAATGCAACTTTTCAGAATTTGAGAAGTTGTACTGAAAATCTTAAATTAAAAAAAAAAAGTATGTCCTATCAATTCCAAATGATTGCCTTTCTAGAAAAAGTTTTATTAAGTATTCGCTCAATTGGATTGGTAGACAGTCAAATTTAATAGAGAGTGAAATTATACTTTTTTTATTTTGAATTTAACATCAACTGTCGTATTGATGCCTGCACCTGAAGCATCTTCATAAATCATCATCCGTCATAAATTCATTTAAAATGTTATTCCTAAATAATGAGTTATAAAAGACTAATATGAATGTAAAATCGATAACCACTTAGAAATTAAGAAATGTCTAATATTTGTAATAAACATTTTTATTGGTGTTTCTTTCATATATGGTTATACCGTAATAACAATGTAATACTTTGACAATAAAATGTATCGGTATCGGTATCAGTAATGGGTATACAATGACTTTACTAATCAAAAATAGATTGTATCTGATTTTAATCAGTTGTACAAAAGGAGGAAAGATATTCTTTGTTTGACCGTTTGTTCATTTTTAAGAAAAACTTTTCTTCTGATGAAATCGTCTCTTTAACTTGATGTTTTTCCATTTCGTAATAGCAAAAAGATCATTAGAACAGAACCGTCAACGACACCAGATGGTGACAAGTAAGAAGTGGTTCTAGTCCTTCCTTTTGCCACTTACTGTTTAATAGAAGGTTTAAGATGTCATCCAAATACCAAAAGCATCAAATCGCCACTCATTTTTTACGCGTTTAGTTTTTCTTACATCGATAAAGAACAATTTTAAAATGGACTCTGGGGTTTCCCAGTTTCGATACGACAGAGTTTTCGGACGTTTTCGTGCAAATCGAAGACGTTTACAGTGATTTGAAATTGATAAAGTATTATTTTCGTTCAAAAATATATCTAAGTATTATAGAAATTGAATGAAATAGTGCTTATGGAAAAGAAGATAAATTTAACTGGAAAAAAAAGAATCCCATAATAAAGAGGGCTTTATGAATGAACGACAAAAAAATCCGGTAGAGTTTCATGATATAGAATAAGAAGACGATATAAAGGAAAGAACTGAAACTAAGATGTTGAAGAAAAGGAAGATAAGGTGTTCAAGAGGAAAAAAAATATTGAAAGAAACTTATCAAAAACAACGGGTAGAAAAACATCCAAAAGGCGAAATGTTGTAGCAGTTATATCAAGAAACAATATTTAGCGCTTGTGTATAATTAATTAAGTTAAATAAATCGTAAGAATGTGTATGAAAGTTTGTGTGTGTAAATGCTATATCTGTATAAAAACTGAAATTTGAATAAAATTCGTATAGTTGTGCAAAAAGCATTTTTATTTCTAGTTTTATCCCCATCCAACAAGTCTTACTGAACAATTGTCGATCTCCCTGCTGCAATAGATGAAGATAATAACTTCCAGATACAGATTGTCGTTTCCTATTAAAGACGATAGATTCGGTAAATCTCTATAATTCCATTCAGTCAAGCAGAAATTCTTTTCTGATCTTTTACCATACCATGACGTCACCGTTTTACTATCTTCCAATTGGTCATTCGTCATAGGAAATAAAGCGGCCTCCACCTTAGCCCAGGTAGTCGATAGAATCCGCTTGGGAATTTTAGCATGTGGACGTCAAGAAGTTCAAATGATTGATCCAGAGAAATGGAACATGCTATTCTGCTTGAACGAATCTTGAAAATGTAATTTCATTGCGGATTTGAATTTTTACCATTATTTATTTATGGTCAATGCAACTTTCGACCTCCTTTGTCTTTCAATTTTTGAACTTTTTATTGTTTTCTTCATAAGGATCTTTTTACCTTCTTAGCTTAAACTTTTCTCTCAACTTTCTGTTTTTCTTATTTATTTATTTATTACATTTTCTGCGAGACTATCACAAATTCTAACATTTCAGCCTTTTCTTTATAAACGATAATGTCTGACTTGCATAAAAATAAAAATATTTAGAAAAATAAGTTCTATCTGAACTTTCTGTTCCTATTTTCAATATTTTTTGATTTTAAATTTAAGTAATCTCTTCGTTTCCCTTCCCTCTCATCTTCTCTTTCTTATCTTAAATTTTTAGCTTTTCTCAAGGCCCATTACCTTTTCCAATTCCTCTTCCTACCTTTCCATTCATCTAAATTTCTTTTTATATTTCTATCCCATTCAGATAAGATCATCAAGAATCCCAAAAACTAATTTGGCCCTTCTCTAATCTAACAATTTGCCAAAATGAACGGATTTCCTAATTGGAGTTGAACCACTCTTCTTCCTTAAATGTTATTTTTAAAAATCATTAACATTGGAAGTATTAAAGTTAACAACAATTTACGACTTTCCGCTTAATAATTTGTTGCTAAACCGAATATTTTAAAAGAAATTTTTTTTATTTTTATTTTTTTCTTTATTTTAAGCACCTGTCGCATTCACAAAAGAATTAAGCTAAAGTAAATTGGTGAAACATTGGGAAATGAAAGACCTTGATTATCTTTTTCTCCATACTTAGAATTTGTTAACGCACAATATCGCCTTTTTCGTGTTTAATGTAATTTTTAAAGCAAATAAATTTGTTAATGCAAATACTAATCTTCATCTCTTCAGAAAAAAAAAGAGAGAAAAAGCGTAGAGATGCATCAACCTCTCTTTATATGCAAATTTCAGTTCACCTTCCACATGTTCATGCTGAAAAAGTCTTTTAATGTACACTCCATTTCATACGTTTTAAATTTATCATAACAAACTACTACTGAATATACATCGATCATATTCAAACCTTAAAGCTTTTAATATCTCTATATTTAAATTTGACAAAGTAAATCATGCATGTTAGAGTTCGACTAAGGAGAAACGTGCTTTTATAGTATACATTCTGTAGGCCTATAACAATAAAAAAATAAATAAATATGATTTAGTTTTTACCTGTCCCATAATAGCAGAGATATTTTTTAAAGATATATCCGTTACATTGTTAACTTTCCCAATATAAAGTAAGTAAAACATGTTTATATGGTAGAATTTGATAACCCGAGGCTAATAATATATTTTTTTCATACATTGGCTGTAATTCTAAGAGCTTATCTCTTATAAAAATGACATTAAATAAAGCTAAATTTACTAGAAATGGGTAAGTTTATTCTAAAGTAATTAAGCACAAATCCAAAATTTCTTTTATTACACACACATACACACACTAATGAAACTCTCCATTCTTATAAAATTCAGCTTTAAAATTTTTTCTTGACAATTTTTTAATGGAGAACCGTCTGAAAGAAGGATTTATTTTAGCAGAAAAGAGTATCTCTAACAAAAGCTGATTGAAACAATGCAGCCTTTCGATCTTTCCCGGCGATTTGATATGTCAAGTCAAGCTTATTTAGTCTCAGCCAAAGAAGTGCAACAAATAAAGGATGAGCCATTCTGCGTATCTTATCTGATTAAAATAAGAAAAGTTTTTCGGGTGAGGAACACTGGAATTGGTCATCGATGCGAATCAATGACAACGTCAATATAATCGCGTCTTCAGAGAAACTGGATTAGACATGATAATAGGATCACAAGCTGGATTAAGTCACGGTAATTAGACCTAATTGTAGTGTAGTCAGCATCAATCGGCTCTGTGACTTCCTGCAGTTAACGAACGACTCCTACACTTTTACTTTGAATCGTCTCAAGATAGTGTGCCTTTTCGCTCTTCGTTTCAATAACGTGTCATAAGCGCAAAAATACTAAAATAACATCTAATTACCGTCTAGGTTTACTTAATGAGTGTGTAGCACTTAGATAAAGAGATGTCGTCAAATAATTGTACGTTGCGGCCGAGTGATGAAAAATATTTCATAAACATGAAAAATGGTAGAGATAATTAATCGGTAAGTATTGCCACTCGACGTTACTTCATAAACAATGCTTGTAAATTACTTTATTGTGACTTAAGTTTGATTTTTTAAAATTCCCTAATAATTCGATACTGTGTCTCAAATGATACGCGATTATATAGTTGCATGAGAAATATCAATTTTTTCACGAAAACTGGACAAGTGGTGTAGATTTAACTCACCTTCGATGAACAGTTGTAAAAACATAAGCAAAGTAATCATACTTGGACCCTTAGTCCGTACCAAAGCGTGCGTCATCACCACACAATCACCACTGACTTCACTTCTACACTGATCAAGGCGTCCGGACCATGTGGGACACCAACACCACCTGGTGGTCGAACTCGGCGTCACGCTACCTTCTCCTCACTACGCAAGCGCATTGGCCACCCGATATCCAAGGTAAAATGATAATGAAGTTCGAAAAAGAATCGTCACTTCCGACGACATTCTCTTTCAAAGTCATCGCATAATGCTTTGAACTCGGTAGTTGAAAGAAACAAATACGCTAACCTTTTTCGATGTGCTTTTTCTTAATTGGCCATTTCTGCCGCTACGCTACTTACCCTTCCACACACCCAAAGGTCTCTTTTTCTTTTAGATAATGCAAACGAGAATGAGAGAGAGAGAGAGAGGAAAAGAAAAAAATACACACAACTGAGACATAGAAAAAACAAAACTACCTAAACACATATGTATATAAACGAAAAGAAGTATTACACTTTATAAAAGCAAATATTAGAGTTTTACTCAACTCGTGCCCCTTCTCCTCTACAATTTTGTAGAAGTAAACATTATCAGTGCCGCCCGAAGACACAAATCATTAGAATCCTGTTAATATAAAACTAGCCCGAAGGAAAACAAACAACCCAAAGTATGTTGATGTAATGTATATCAGGCATGAATATGTGTATACAAATCTTTCAATACCTCCGCCCACTGATTAAAGAATCTTGATAAAATCGTAGAAAAAAAAAAAAAAAGAAAAGAGTAAAAAATTCCAAAAATCAAAAGACGTCTTCCATTTTTATAATGATGACGTGACGTACTTTGACGTGTCATCACGATGGAGAACGTGAAAGTTGCGTGAAGTTAGATAGTGCCGACTCCTCCCACTATCATGGCGAAGTGAAAACATTACAAGAGAAACGGTGACGTCATATGATACTTGTGCAGTAACATCGATCGTAGAAGCGCTTAATGTAGACCTATAAGTATAAATTTGGTGAGTAATACAAAATGGCGTTTGTAGACGGAGATGGGAAGAGCACCCGAGCTTCTTTTTTATTTCTTTTTTCCTTCAAGTTTAATTTATAAATAAAACATGCGTTTTAAAATAATAATAAAGTAAGGAGTTTTAAAATAAGTAGAGTTTGTAACAAAAGTGGAGTTGCCTTTTTTTTTTATTGCCTGAATTTTAATTAATTAACTCTACCCTTTCTGTACATATATATAAATTATATTTTAATTATAGATATACATAAACTTTGCTATTTTTACGAGATTATATATGGCTTTAATTTTGATATGTTGCTTATATGAATATTAAAATTATATTTTCTAAACTATAAATATACTTCGTTTGAATTAATTTATCTGTTTATTTAGATAAATCTATATCTTAGTTTGATAAAATCCTATAAATATTAACATTATTTTTGCTTCGATGTATCTCTTATAATACATAATAATTTTAAATTTTTGTGGTCATTCAACTTTAGTATTTAATTAAAATTAAAATTAAGTTTTCGTTATATAATTTAACGCTGTACGTGCATTTAATTAATTATTATTAATTATTTATCATTTTATATAATAATCTCTATAGATTTTCTTTTCTTGGTTATTAGAATGAAAAAGAAGCTTCAAATCTTTAGAATATGGATTCGTCAACTGAAAGTAATAATTGTGGTGTAATAAATGGCAAATATTCATTCTGAAACGAGAGAAAACCATAAATGGAAAGTTTTTATCACTGAATTCGCTAGCTGTGTTTTGTAATATCTACATTTATAATAGGATGTAATGTGATTTATATGTTAAAGGGTTACGAGTCATCGAACCGCATCATCCGTTCAGACGAATTTTGAAAAACTACCTATAATCAAGTAAAGTAGTTTGAATTAAAAGTTGTTAAAGTGAAATGACAGAAACAATTAGAATGCTGACGTCACACAGTTCCTTAATGTTACCCTTGAGACAACATTTCCGATTGAAGATAAGGAATCGCCCTCCAGGGTGGAGGAACAATTTGCCACATTCCAACTTTGCCAATTCTCTTTGCTGATTACAACTCTTAACATCAATTAAGCGTTATATGTCACAATATATTCCCGTTTGATTATACTGCATTGTTTCTATGTTTATACTTGTTAAGAATTATGAAAATATTCCCATTGCAACAAATTTGGGGCTCTACTGCTTGAATTTGAAGTGATTGCTCCATGTGCTCCAGGCATTTTATGCATCATTTAAACTTTAATTATTGTATTATAATCTACATAACTGTGATCTACACATCTGCGTGCATAAGTACATCACTTAAAATTTTAAGATTTACATGTTAAGTAAGAGAAATATTTTCAAGAATCAATTCAAACTATTGATAAGTTTATGTAAAATATTTCATTTGCGATTTAAGTGCAAGCAAACTCTTCAAACAAATGGCAAAAGTTGATATATAATTTAGATCTGCATAATGATATATTTTATTAAATTACCATTCTTTCTCTTCGAAATAATACTTGGAAATTTTAACAAGATTTTATTATTGAAGAAGTGTTTTAAATTTTCTAAATTTTGTCATTATTTACAATAAAAACCAAGTCGAGTCCAATTCGCCTTATTGTAAATGGGTTTTTCTATTTACAGTAGTTCTAATTACCAAAATAATTTAAAAAAAATAATAATAAATATTAAATATAACATTTTAAATTCGTTTATAAATTTCTAAAATTTTTTAAAAATAAATAAACTTTATTTAACATTTTTAATCTTATATCAATTTTGTTCATTTAATTAAAAAAGTTAATATTGTTCACCGTCATTCAAAAGTTTAAAATCAAAGTTAAAACTTTAAAAAGTTCGAAACGTAATGAAATATTTTATTTAAAGATTAAAAAATAAAATTTGGAACTCTTGAAATACTCTACGTGTAAGTAAATATACAAAACTTTAGAAAAAAAAATATTATGAAAGTAGGATTATGTTTAATCCTTTATATTTTGTTAAGTGTATTTTAATATATAAAGTCCATTTGCATGACAGTTAGAATATGACGTCAGATCATCGTCATTATGCGGAAATAACCAGGTAAACACTCGAATTCAATCAATTTAAACAGCTGGCTACAGACAGAAGTAGGTACACAATCAAGGCAGTGGAGCGAGCAAGACGGAAAATCGATGGATATCTGTTGCCTCCGTCTGCATCAAAAGTCTTGCGGTGAGATCTAAAGCATTCTTGCCCTTTATACTCAAAATTCCACCTTTACCCCAGCTTTCAATTAGTTGGATGCTTTAACTTGTTTTATTTTGCACAACTTTAACACTGTGAAGACACGTGACTTGAGTGATATTAATGAGCTGTTGAGCGAGTTTAAAGAGGTCCTGATTATAATAAAGTGTTGCGATACATCAAGCTTTAAAAATCCTTAATGTAATAAGAATTTTAATAATTTTACATCTTTACCAATTGTTAACTCATGCTAAAATTCACAAATATGCATTTATTTAAAGTTCGTTTTATCTTCTGTGTATTCCCATTCTTAAAATATTTACTATAAATTGAGTATTAAAAAATAAAACATTTTGAGTAAACATAACAATTAAACATTTTCAAAATAGCTTGTCAACTTTCAAAAAAAAATAATAATAATAAAAATTGATTTATCAATATTGTTTTTCTTATGAAATATTTTCTAGTTTCAAATAATAAAATAATATCTTTAAAAATTTAAAAGAAAATATTTACAAGTTTTTTTTTATTTTTATTATTTTTTTCTTTAAATATAGAATCACGTATTACATTTACTTGTCGCTGCTTATATATAAAATAGAGAAAATAAATAAAGTTCCTAAAAAAAAAAAATAACTGTTTTTCTCAAAAACATTAAATGGGGATTTAGAACCTGTCAAGATAATTTTTTTCTTTTCTTCTTCTCTTTTTTNATTGCCAAATACCATTAAGATTTTTATCTAGACTAAATTAAAATTCATAATTTAATACATGTTGCTTTATATAATTATTTTTTTTTTCTATAAATTTAAATGTTTTTTTTTCTTTCTTTTTGAAACTCTTTTAAGTATGTTATTATTTCAAATAATTATTACTAAAAAAGAAATTTAAAATTGTTTTTTTGGGGGGAGTAATTTACTGTAATTATTTAACAAATGACTGCTGACATTCATTTAATATTCTTTATGCTCATATCAATGATACTTAATTTCCATTATAATGTAAGACTTTCTAAATAACTCTTTATATATTTTAGTTTATATTCTATAATCGTTATAAATAGAATTATATATACTCTATGTTTGTTGACAAATCTCTGTTTTCTCTTTCTCTTTGGTTAATTAAGACAATGGAACGAAGATCGTAACTACTATTTTGCTATTGCCAACTATTTTGTCAGTAAATAATTTATGTGACAGCTATCATACGTCATAATTAACATCTTTCTATATCAACAAGATTATATTCACTATTATAGTTTTATTAAAGAGTAATCATATGTTGAATAATTAATCAAAATTAATTACAGCTTTAATTAACCTATTATGTGGATTAACTGGTATAAATCTGTGTTTTAATAAGTATTTATAAAAAGTTAGTTATTTTATGATACTGTAATTTTAATTTTAATTTCAATCTTTTTATACACAGTAAAAAAAAAATAAATAAGAAATTTAAATATTTTTCTTTTTTAATTAATACTTTTATAAAAATGTTTTTAAAATGAATATTTATAAACAAAATTTTAGAAAGAATTTGAATATGAATTCATTCAGATACAAAAAAAATTTATTAAATAAATATGTTTTTCTTTCAAAAATATAAAAATATAATAATAAAAATTGGTTTTAAATATTTAAAAATATTAAAAATCATAAAAAATGTATACAACAGGTTAAATGATAGTAATTTATATCACTTTATAAATCAATTTATGAAGAATTTACATATTTGATTAGTTTTTCTCTTCATTCTTTTACTTTATAGAAATCAATTTTAAATCATTTCGTGCTTATATTTAATATTACAATTAT